GGTCACCATCTTGGATTGGTGTAACTATTAGTTAAGGTCACCATCTCAGATTATTGTAACTATTAGTTAAGGTCATCATCTTGGATTAGTGTAACTATTAGTTAAGGTCACCATCTCAGATTAGTGTAACTATTAGTTAAGGTCACCATCTTGGATTAGTGTAACTATTAGTTAAGGTCACCATCTTGGATTAGTGTTATTATTTTAGTGTAATTATTTGTTTCGGTCGTTGACATGCAGATGGTGACTTTTCAATATTTATACTGTTGATATAAAAGAGCTTTTTGACACAAAGATTTCAGGCATACATTTGAACTTACCGCGCTTAAAATTAGCATTAAATCCAGCGTAGATTAGCGGATTGAGAGCACTGTTAGAGTAGGCCATGCAATATCCAGAAAACTGTACGTCTCGGAACCAGTCTCCAAGCTGTGTGAAAATGAATAGGTGTAAATTGGTCACTAGAAGTAGACGAAAAATAAGCAACTATTTCAACATCTTTATTGTGAATGACGAGAGCCAAACAAAGTAAACACTTTATTGTAGATGACGAGAACCAAACAAAGTAAACACACTGTATTGTAGATGACGAGAGCCAAACAAAATAAACACTGTATTGTAGATGNTATTGTAGATGACGAGAACCAAACAAAGTAAAAACACGGTATTGTAGATGATGAGAGCCAAACAAAATAAATACTGTATTGTAGATGACGAGAACCAAACAAAGTAAACACTGTATTGTAGATGACGAGAGCCAAAAAAAGTAAACACTTTATTGTAGATGACGAGAACCAAACAAAGTAAAAACACGGTATTGTAGATGACGAGAGTCAAACAAAGTAAAAACACGGTATTGTAGATGACGAGAGCCAAACAAAATAAACACGGTATTGTAGATGACGAGAGCCAAATAAAGTCAAGACTGTATTGTAGATGACGAGAGCCAAACAAAAAAACACTTTATTGTAGATGACGAGAGCCAAACAAAGTAAACACGGTAGTGTAGATGACGAGAGCCAAACAAAATAAATACTGTATTGTAGATGACGAGAATCAAACAAAGTAAACACGGTATTGA